CCAACTTCTTAACAATGTGGAGGTGGGCTGGAACAATTTGAAATTCAGTCATTTCTAATTTTCAACCAGATAGGAGGAGGTTAACCAGTTATCGTCACACATGAAAAAATTATAAAAAAAAAATAGAAAACGATTCCGAGAAGCAGTACGTGCGAACCTCCAGCAGCAGCCAGTGTCAGAGCGGTCGCTCCCATGAATCTGAAATTATTTGAGATTATTATCTTCCAGACCGACGAATGGCCGATGTCAGACTTTGCGATTGGAGCGATTTTGCACCAATTGCAGGAGCGACGGATCGCTCAAGCGCGAGCGACGGGAGATTTACCCGAGCGGCGCCGTGTGTATCGGTCGTCGGCGGGGTAAATCTCCCGTCGCTCGCATCTTTCAAGCGATCCGTCGCTCCTGCAATTGGTGCAAAATCGCTCCAATCGCAAAGTCTGACATCGGCCAATCTCTTTCACTGAGGGTCCTCTCTCACTGAAAGATCTCGAGCCGGTTGGTGGCGAGGCTACGTGGCGCGACCCCAGGTGGCGGATAGGGGGTAAATCGCGGACCAAAAGCCACCATGTACTTGCCCTGAGACGCAGGTGGATTCAGGGGATGGACTCCCTGTTTCTGCAGTGCTGTGCTAATTCAAATTCGTGAAAAGGTAGGTGGACCCGTAATAGTAAAGATGCGGACCAACACGCAATTTGCAACGAACGATATGTCCCGGGCAACCTAGCATGGTCCCCCCCCCACGGCGTGGTACGCCCACGACTGGCTACCACTCGCCGCAGGTCTCTAGCCGTTTAGCAGAGAGAGCGTTAGCGTTGAAGAGGGCAGCACCGATGAGAGTCGCATCAATGCGGAAATCAACGGGCAAGGAAGGGGTCCATTTCTCGGGTTCTGGGCCGTTTCTCATGGTTTTTCTTCTCCCTGCACCACTCACCACCCTAATAATTTGTAATGGCTGCCTTTCATCGTAAATTCGTCCTTTAAGATTACAATTTATACGAGAAGGAAGTCTGATTAGTCCTAGTCACAGTGCACTTGACAAGCGCTTACTGTAAATAATTACAGTGCCATGAAACTAAACCCTCCTAAACAGAATGGGCGTCCGATCAGTAGAAGCTACACAATCTACGGTCTTCACGAGCTCAATGGAGAACGGCTTATGCGTTGAGAGACGAGACCTCTTAGAAACCTACGTCGTTCTGTGGATGTCGGCTCCTCGTTGAAGCAACGTTTCCACGACGGTCATACGACCTTCTCGGCATGCGTGATGAAACGGTGTCATACCGACTTGATTACAAGCTTCTAGATCAGCGCCTTCATCCAGTAGGTAGGTTACCTGGAAAGACAAACACTTTTCAATTCATTCCGACCATACCCATCAACATTTTGAATTGTTGCAGCAAAACTTATGCGTCAGCTTCAAGGAAAAACCGCTGGTGGAACGGGACAATATCTGAGTATGACCTTTTGTAGAGTAGTAAACGTTACGGACAAGCATAAAGTAGAAAAAAAAAATCAAAAGAACAAAAGTCTACCTGTCTCTGGTGTACGTAAATAGATCCTCGGGAACAATACCATTCGAACCCACTTCGAGCTGCACGATTCCTCAATCACTCGCAATTGTACGGTAACCTACCATAGCATTATTTCCATTGAAAGCCGCTATTTGTAAAGCCGTAACGTGATCGTCATCGTATGAATCGATGTTGACTCCCATTCGCAGCAGCTCAGCCACCTTAACACAATCAACAGTTCTCAAGATTGTTTAGACCCTGACAGGATTTTTCAGGCCTACGAGGCGAAGAGTGAAGGCAGTTTATTATTGAATAATTCTCGAGTCCATAGCCTCCCACAGACCCAAAAAAACAATTTAGAAGCTTGAAAGTTTCAGAAAGGTTTTGAAGTGATCTCGAAGTTCACGACTTGTTTCAAGGCAAGCACAATCCTCCGGCCTTTAAAGGATAAAGGATAAAGCATTTGCCGTTGATCAATCCCTTTTGGGATGCGGCACGCATTCTACTTCCATTTGTACATTCGTAGTGGCGTTTGAATGCGATGTGGCCTATACAATGACTTGCGGGGGCCAGCCGATGTACAAGTCAGTGTTTTTATCCTCCCAGACAAGTCTGGTACCAATTAACCGACCCCGGAGGGATGGAAGGCTTGGTTGGCCCGGGCGACTCACGACCCAGGATTTGATCCCCGGACCGCTCGCGTGGTAAGCGTGCCACTTGCCACTACACCACTTCCGCCCTTTCATTCGGAAATTTAGTAAATTAAAAAAAACGATTAAAAAAGCCACCCATGAGTTTGCTCATTTCAGTAGCTTAAAAAGACCCGAGTGATTCTGTCGGAAGATACGAATTTCCCTGCCAAGAGAGAATCGATAGAGTGGCGTGAAATACTGCACATATTTTACCACCAATCCCGCACTCGTCGTTAAGAAGGAAAAGGAAAGAAAGGAAAACTCAACGGGTTTCCTTCCGGAAAGAGAACAAAGATGCTTCTTCCTGTTGTCACTCAATTAAACTGCTCTGGATATTTTTAGCCTTCATGCTAAGTGAATGATAAGAAGCAAACAAAAAAATATTGCCATGACATATTGTGACATTATGACAAAAAAAAAGAAAATATTGCCGAACTTCGCTACCTTAGTGATGTTTCCTTCATAGGCGGCGTTGAGCAACTCCATTTTTGGGATGTCCATCTCATCGTGCCAGTCGACACCGGCACCGCCGCTCATTTTGTCTTCAATCGGTCACTACCTCCCTCTACTCCGGTCCACTATTTGTACAACTTTTCCTGGAGAACAAAAGGAGTGAGGTATTTTCACGCAAGGAACAGAATACGATGAAACCCAGAGGAGAATCAGCTGAGTATGTTTTAGGAGTTTCGGCTAATCATAAACAAGAGTGAGATTGTGCAGTGTGCGAGTCAGTACATTGCCTTTTGCAGTGCACACACATCGTTGATAATCATGTTCATAAAGAGTGGCGATTGAAATGTCCAATAAAAAATAGAATTTACGGTAAAACCAGGGAAAAGAAACTTAAGGAACATTCTATGATTGTCCAGGTGTAGTTTGCACTGAAACATTAAGAAGAGTGAAGAAGAAAGGAACAGAAACGTTCGAAACATCAAAAGAGAAAGTAGTGGACGAGCCTACAGAGAGAAAACACAAGACAGACCCGCAGACGAGAGAGCATAGGGACGCGCGGGACGCAGGCATCGACGCATTCGCAAAGATGGCGCCAACTCGTAAGCCGCCTGAGCTCTTGTCACGCATTTTTAGTAGCAGAACTACACCACATCAACGGTTGCGGAGCCAGCCTCCTCATTCACGGTAAGGTTTGTTCCAAAGAACGAATCGTGGTATAACATTTCTAAGCAGCCTCGAAAACAAAATAAAATCGGGTTTCAATGTATGAAAAGCGATGTCGAATAGAAACTAAATAAACCTGAACTTAATATTAGATTAGAGTTAACATCGTTTGATTACATAGTTGTAGAGCAAGTGTCAGACTTTGTG